AAAGGATTTTCATAAAAAACATAATTAATGTGCACAAATAAGGAATAGTTGTATTAAAAATCCATGTAAAGAGAGTTTTATGGGGCCCCCAGGAAGTACCTTTCCTGCAGATTTTGATGACCTTCCCCCAGCAGAGCTAATATCACTCCAAGGCTAAAAGTCTTTATACTGAGAAGTCGCAGCCAGAGAGCTGAGGGATGGCTAGTGTATCATGAGAGCTGTCATCATGCCCCCCCCCAACCCCCCTTTGATCTCAACGCTCCGAGAGAAAACAAAACAAAAGAGGCCTAATCGTATACAAGGATGAGTCCGTTCTTCAGGATAGCATCATTCAGCCTACTGGAGATCTAATCATCTCTGCCTCAAAACAAGCCGCTTTATTGATACCTCATCCACACACACACACACACACACACTCTCTGAGAGCGTGTCGTAGATAGACCGAAAGAGGAATCATATTATTGGGAGCATGCATTTCACCTTGAGTGCTTGTGTGAGTGGAGGAGAGACAGAACTCCATTAAGGCCTTTTAAGGGCTTGTCACTTTTGCAGATCAGCTCCCCGAGCTCTAAGAGCTCCTCACATTTAAATTGAAAGCTGTTGTATTATCTAGCTTAATTTTAAATGTCTGTTTAAGTCCTGAGCCATTGCGCCGAGTGTCTCCGGTGGCACGGCTAGCTGTAGTAAATATGAAGCTTCATTGTTTATTTATGCTCCTGACATCAATTGTAGTGAGGAAAAAAGAAAAAAGCGCTGCATTATTGATGCTTAAATGCAATCTGAATATTGGCCCTGGTGCTTTAATTATAGCAGAAAGGGAATATTTAAATAAACACAGAGACGTGTTGCTCGGTGGGAGCGGTTATTCTCCATGTGGCTCACATCGAGCGGGATTTAGATGTTCTCGTCCAACAAAGACGTGCAGCAGGAGGCGGGACCTCCGGATCAATAATCAGAAACGGTTTCAGAGTCGTTTTTGATTCCAAACTGTCTTTATTTTATTTTTCTTCCCGATCATGGACGTTTTTCTGCTCCTTGCCTAATCTCTTTGTTCAGAGCAGACAAATTACCTCTCTGAAACAGAGCGGCTTTGACCCAGGGGAGGAAGACCCTCCCAGCGTCAGTCACTTTAATTAGCCCCCAAAGTAGGAGTTTGCAATTACTAATAGAGTGAAAGCCCTCCTAGTGATTTGAAGGATGAAGGGGAAAAGTAAATGGAGCCTTAGAATCTCTGAGAAAACAGGAGGAGAGATGAGAAAGTTTTTAAAGCAGTTTTTTTTTTGAATAGTTAATTGTGTTTCCTCCCCCTGCATTTCTGTTTCACAGGCTTGAGCACCTCCTGCAGTTATGCTGGAGCGTGCTTCTAATTATACCAAAGAGAGTCGCCTCATGAAGGCACTTTTGAGTCGGTGCTAAGTAAATGGGACACCAGATGGTTTTCAAAGCCTGGCTGATCAATAAATTAAAGACTGGCGCGGGTGGAAAATGTATTTATCAGGTGGGGGAGGGATTT